GCGTTAGGGCACCTATAGGGTTCATTTATAACTACGTTTGGTAACCAGAGACAAGGTAAGGGCTTGAAAATATTCAAAGGGGAATGTGTTAGACACCCCTCAGGATCCACTAGAGTGGTTCCCGGCAAAACAGTTTTTGTCAATTTGTACAATTAGCAAATAAACAAGTATGACTCAAATAGTAGGGGATTTAAGTTTAAGAACACAGATGTTTGAAAAGCAATTAATAAAAAGCAAGAGTTTGAAAGAATTACAATCTAAGCACATTTGTGAATGTAAAAGGGGGTGTCCTAGGTTTGTTTATAATATGGATCACATCAATACAATACCCGGTATGACACTCCTCAAAGAGGAGCTACACGTGGTATTAGCGCACTGGTCATCATATCCATATCTACCCTTTCCCGCCTTGTGAAGGTAATTAAAGTGAGGGTTGGTCTCGACCCCTATTACATGCTGTTACCCGTCCCTTCCTATCAGTCCCGGAGGATTTAGGACTTTTATCCTATAAAAGGGGGTTCTAGGCAGATCCTCAGGTTTAAAGGAAAAATACTAAGCGATAAATAAGAACACATAGGACTACATTTAGGGGGAAAACACAAAAAACAGATAGAAGGCTCAGATATACCTCCACAAGTAATGCACATAGACAACACGACTCATACATAGATAAGGTCCACATTTGAACTCAGAATTCTAAAGCATGGTATCTAAGTGATAGAAGCAGAACTAGATTTATTACATGACTTAGAAAAGAAGTCTGAATCAGGCTTGCCTACTGATTTTAACATGTTGACAGTTAAACACTAATCATAAAGACAGTTTTGATTTTATTTAAGAATTGATTGCCTAAGGCTTGCCTAGGCGTAAAATAATATGCAACAGTTACCAGAATTATCAAAATAGTTTGGAAATTATTTTACCTAAAGGCAGGTTGTTCTAAATGTTGCAAAGACATGCAGGATTATGACCAGTTTCGCTTAAACAAGGTAATCAAATATGAGACTGTTTTATGTCCCTTTTTCATGCATCAGTAGTTTAACTAGGTGTAATTGAGCGAGATCCTAAAAATAGGGTATCTAATGTACACATATGAAAATTGCAGAATATGCAGAATTCCTAGAGCATGGTTTCTAAATGCCCAAAGAGTTACAGCATGACTTCAAGATGTGCATGAGCACCATTTATATTAATGTTGTTATTCAGCCTAAAGCACGATTTGCATTTTGAAGAGTCGTCACCTAACGATTTAAGGTGCATTAGGGCACCTATAGGGTTCATTTATAACTACGTTTGGTAATCAGAGACAAGGTAAGGTCTTGAAATTATCCAAAAGGGAAGGTGTTAGGAACCCCTCAGGATCCACTAGTATGGGTTCCGGCCAAATAGTTTTTGTGAATTATACAATTAGCAAATAAACAAGTATGGCTCAAATAGAAGGGGATTTATGTTTAAGAACACAGATGTTTGAAAAGTAATTAATGAAAAGCAAGAGTTTGATAGAATTACAATCTAAGCACATTTGTGAATGTAAAAGGGGATGTCCTAGGTTTGTTTATAATATGGATCACATCAATGCAATATTCGGTATGACACTCCTCAAAGAGGATCTACACGTGGTATTAGTGCACCGGTCATCATATCCATATCTACCCTTTTCCACCCTGTGAAGGTAATTAAAGCGAGGGTTGGTCTTGACCCCTATTGTATGTTGTTACCCGTCCTTTCCTATCAGTCCCGGAGGAATTTAGGACTCTTATCCTATAAAAAGGGGTTCTAGGCAGATCCTCAGGTTTAAAGGCAAAATACTAAGCGACAAATAAGAACACATAGGACTGCATTTAGGGGGAAAACACAGAAAACAGATAGAAGGCTCAGATATAGCTCCACAAGTAATGCACATAGACAACACGACTCGTACACAAATAAGGTCCACATTTGAACTCAGAATTCTAAAGCATGTTATCTAAGTGATAGCAGCAGAACCAGATTTATTACATGACTCAGAAAAGAAGTCCGAATTAGGCTTTCCTACTGATTTTAACACGTTGACAGTTAAACACTAATCACAAAGACGGTTCTGGTTTTATTTAAGAGTTGATTGCCTAAGGCTTGCCTAGGCGTAAAATAATATGCAGCAGTTACCAGAATTATTAAAATAGTTTGGAAATTATTTTACCTAAAGGTATGATGTTCTAAATGTTGCAAAGACATGCAGGATTATGACCAGTTTCGCTTAAACAAGATAATCAAAATTGAGACAGTTTTATGTCCCTTTTTCATGCATTAGTAGTTTAACTAGGTGTAACTGAGAGAGATCCTAAAAATAAGGTATCTAACGTGCACATATGAAAATTGCAGAATATGTAGAATTCCTAGAGCATGGTTTCTAAATACCCAAAGAGTTACAGCATCACTTCAAGATGTGCAGGAGCAACATTTATATTAATGCTGTTATTTAGCCTAAAGCACGATTTCTAAATGATAAAGTGATGCCAAATGAGATGCTGAAATAGTAAACCTAAGAACATGGTATCTAATGCATGACATGCTTTGAATGGGTTGATAATGCACATATAGGAAACGTAAACCTAAGACATAGTTTCTACCCATTGATGTTGATAGCATACATACTACCCTCCCATTTTCACTAGCCAACCCAATACTTATTTACAACAGATTATTACAGACCGACATTGAAATGAATTACATAATTAGAAATAAAAAATAAGGTATTACACTATAGAGAGCCTGATTACGACTTCCTCCTGAGTTATGTAATAAATCACCTCAAGTGCCAAGATTATTTCATATCCCTTCTCATATCCGGGTGTGTCAGAGTTTCCTAAGGACCTCAAGGGATACCGGGCAGTACTCACACCCAGATTTCATAGCCAAGACAGAGTAAGTGCAGTGTGAAAAGGCCAGATTTCATGTGTCCAAGTTCAGAGGGAGCTCAAGGGTCCCAAGGCAAGGCTCACACAAAATGGGCAGAATTTAGTGGTCTAAAAGTAAGGTGAGAGTGCTTAGCATAGTTTTGAAAAGGTTTAATTGGAAAACAGTTTTAAAACAGCATGTTTGAAATAAGTTTGCAAAAACAACAGAAGGGATGCTTAGGGAAAACAGTTTTGAAAGGAGAAGGGAACAGGAGCAACAACAACTTAGAACAAGCCAGCACACACAGAACAAGGTCAAAGAATAGTATTATTTCACCATTCACAAGTAGGGAAGTAAGGGGTTGGAGACACAGAGAGCCCAAATCAGAAACACGTAAACATGGATGAGAAAAGAAGCATATAGACCGGCAGGTACAAAGAACAAGTAGCAACTGATTGGCCTCCAGAACACAAAACTACTACTTCACAGTGCTAACAAGGGAATCATGCTCAAAATTAGAATAACAATAAGACATAGGGACAAGGTATGGGAGTAGTCATGTTGAGGACAGGGGTTTATTACACATAATTAGTCATGCCGCTTAGTGTTAATCAAGTACATTAGGAGTCTATGATACTAACATGGCATACTAGTTGAGGGAAATAAACAAGAACTCAAGTAGACATGCTGGCCGAGTATCAAACAAGACAAGTATACCCAGACATGCTGAGTACACCCTTGAACAAGAGAGGGCAACTTAAGCATGCTTCATAAAGCAGTAAAAAAGAAGAGCAAGTAAATACATAATACATTAAATTATTATTTACCAAAATTTCAATTTCACCAATTCAAGCCTAAATCTACTCCGGGCCTCCAAAATACATTCCAATCACGCTCCTAAGTCCCAAATCACCTCTCGAAGCTATCCGAACCATCGGAATTCACATCCGATCCCTCTAACACATAAGTCAACATCCGGTTGACTTTTTAAACTTAATCTTTCTCAAAAGAGACTAAGTGTCTCCAACCTTACCAAATCCATTCCGAACCCGAGCCAGCCAACCAGATCACATATAGATTTGATAAACAAAGCAATAAGAAGCAGAAATGGGGGAACAGAGCGGTAACTCATGAGATGACTGGCCGGGTCGTCACAAAAACTAGCTGACTGGAAAACGAAATCTATTAATATAGCGGGAAGAACTACTTTAGCCCATTCGTGCCTTAATTCAATACCAAAACACTATATGTAATACAATTTACTACCAAAAAAGACCCTTAACAATATAGATAAAATACAAAGGGATTTTATATGAGGTACTACCACGGAAAAGAAAAAAATTCACCTAGTAAGATGGTCAAATGTTTGCCAACAAAAATCCAATGGAGGTGTAGGCATCCACAATGCAAATGCAAAAAATATGTGCACCTTAGCTAGCCTAGTATGGAGAATTTTTACAAATGCCACAACTCCCTGGGCTAGACTTATCATCACCTCATATGGTATTATTACTGTAGACATGTGATTTTTGACCCTCCCCAAGATTTTTTATATTTTAGTACGTAAATATTTAATTTAGGCCTAATATAGTTATTTCAACTAATTTTGACTCTTTTATTTTATTTTACTACAAGAAAATAAAAATTACAAAAATAAAAGTTACATATGTCTATAGTATTAGTTTATTTTCATTTTACAGAGAAAGAAAAGTTTCCAAAAAAAATATAGTTTTATTTAGTCTAGTGCAATTTGTTTTTTTTTTAAAATAAATTTAAAATTAATTAAGATACTTTCAACAAATAAAAATTGAGTGTATAGTAATTTTATCTTGCTATTTTTGATTTAATAGGAGTAGATTTTATTTTTATTTATTTGTTATAAACAAAATACTAAAAAAAAAGAACCAATCAAAAATTGACATTTGTCAAAGATTCCTCTCTATCTTCCTTAACAAACTAGCACATGGCATAATAGATTTTGAAATCACCTTGATTGTGGGACCCATCCTCACGTGCACAAAGAATTTCTTTTTTGTTCTCATCTGATAACGTTTTTGGGGAGGGGAGACTTTTCTTTTTCTGGATATATATTCTATTCTATCCTATAGAGAGGGACACAATTTAGAGAGGTGGCGGGGAGGAGAAAATAAGAAACAAAAATTCTGAGATTAAGAAAGAACACAAAAAATACAGAGCTGGAGCCATTTTTCTCTTCTTCTTCCAAGACAAAAAAGATGAGCTGAAAAACACAAAAAAAAAAAAAAAAAAAGAGAGAACGCCTGAAGATCATCGTCTTCAACACCATACCAAACGACCCCTTCGTTCCATTTTCCTTCTTCATTCCAACAACTGCTTCCAGTAGCCTAACGCTGGACACAACACCTTGAACTCCATCTTCTTCTTCATGAATACACGAGAGACCTAGGAGCTAAGCAGCGCCATTGACGACCAAAGAAAAACGATGTCACTCCTTCACCTTCATCAATCTCCATGTTGAGCCGTCACTGCTGATCTTTTCTTCTCCTTCTGCAACTCATCTGAAACAGCCTGAAAATCACGCACACACACAGATCTCCATCGCCACTGCTCCTTCTTCTTCGTCTATCACAGCCATGAAACCTACTTAAGCGCTTCAGTCTTGGTTCGAGTTTGTTTCGGGTTCGCCGGTTCGAGATTTCTGTCTTAGTCTTCAGCTTACGGTCTGTTCATGTTTGGCCATAGTGTCGCATTCTTCTTGTAACCAATTGGAAGATCTTAATATATCGAAAGGATTCAAAGTTTTCAGGTAATTACATTTCTTGGAGTTGATATTTTTTTTTTAACTCATATTGGTAAATTTTCTATTTCTAATCACATCTAATTGAGTAGGTGTTCCGTTTCTTGTTAATTTTCCATTTCTAATCATACTCCCGTTGAGGTTTTCGCGTGCGTGTCTGTGTTGATGTATAGGTTGTTCTGTTTGAGTGCCCAGAAGTTGGTTATTGTTGATTTTCTAGCCTGAACACATTCACTTTATGTCTTGGCTGCGTTTCTTTTGATTCACTTTTTTTTTTTGTCTATTTTGTATTTATTTTTTTTTGATTAAGTTCTACTAAGTGTTTATAACTTTGTTTGGTGTTCATTTTGTATGAGTGCCGTTCTAATGAGGCTTCATCATATTGTATGTGTTATAGTTTTAATTTTCTTTTTCCTTTTAATGATTTGGGTTTGAGGTCAAACTTCAAGTTGAATATTTGCTTTATTTCGTAGCTTTATGTTCAAGCATTCACAGATTAAGTTAATAGTCTGAAAGGGATTTGGTTTCTATTTATATCTACTTTTGACTAATATCCACTATCTTTTTATTAAATAAAAAATAATTAAAAGAATTTTTATTGTTTGTAGCTTTATATTGAATTTCGAGATAGTTTTAAGTTCGAACAACCATATATTGCTTTAGCTGACTACAAATCTTTTAAAATAAATTGAGGCGTGTCAAGCCAAAAAAAAATTTATAATCCATGGCCCTCCATTAGTTATTTTAACTCTTTAGAAATCGAGCTGTGTCATTAGTTGAATTTTTCATGTCTCTCGCAAACTTGAAAGTGCGTAGTTGCTTTAGGCGCGTTATTTAAATTAATTTCCTTAAAATCGAGTGTGCATTTCATGTGACCCAACTCCAATTCTCAACAACGTTAAATAAAATGTGTCGTGGACCGCGGGTACATTTCATGTGGCGTGGTTCAAGGCGTGTTTTAAATAACGTTGAATCTTTTCATAAAATAATTAAAAGCGGTTAATAAGTTAAAATAAACCTAGGCTAAAACATGTATTAAAATCAGATAATAGGCCAATTGTAATAGTTTAAGCGACCGTGCTAGAACCACGGAACACGAGAATGCCTAACATCTTCTCCCGGGTTAACAGAATTCCTTATTCAGAATTTCTGGTTCGCAGACTTCAAAAGGAAAGTCGAATTTCCTCGATTTGAGATTTAAAATAAATCGGTGACTTGGGACAGCAAATAAACCCAAGTGGCGACTCTGAATAAAAATGAACAAATAATTTCATTTCGAATAATGTCACTTAAAGTGAAAAAACTCCCTTATACTCCCCTTCGGGTGGTAAAAAGGAGGTGTGACAGCTCTGGCGACTTTGCTGGGGATCAAAGAACCCAGAATCTCTGGTTCAGAGTTCAGAATTCGAGCTTAGAATAACTGTTATACTTGGCTTTTATCTATTATCTGATTTTTTGCGTGTTTGAGCCTAATATACTAAATGTCGCTTTTTACCGCTTTAATATTGCTTGAACTGTATATAAACTGTTACGAAAACCCTCTTCTATCTGAGTCTTCTAAATCATCTGGGAAGTGTGCACTTCGTGTGACTTCTTTTTTGTTAGAGTCATATCCCAATTTTATAATGAGGTTCGGACAAGTTGCAAAGCCGGTGAAGCTTCTTTATTCTCGGTACGCTGCCCCCCCTCGGCTCGAGCTGTCCACTCGAGTAAGCCAGGTCTAGAACAATACACCCAAGTTTTAAACCTAGAATAACATAGCCTCATGCCGGATCCCTATTAGGAACGCTTGTTTGCATCATGTGCATTTGACTTTGGGGACTCAACGCAGGGGTTGCGTCTGTCTAGGATAGTGTACCCAAATTAAAAGACCATCCTGATGCATCTTACGTGCTACTTGCGTATCTGTCTGTTTCGGCTTGCATGTTGACTGGCTTTTAGAATAGGGAAAGAAAATAAAAAAAAGGAAAAAAAAAAGAGAATCAAAAAGAAGAGAAAGAAGAAAAAAAGAAAAAATCAAAGATAAAAAATCAAGAGTGAGAAGTAGGTATTTGAATTATCCTGAAACTCTGCCGAAATTTTGAAAAAAGAGGAAAAGTCATTTCAAAATAAGTCAATTTCTGTTCCGTCAAAACAAGGCAGAACTACGCAGGTCTGATTCTCACTGGATGTGAGATACGCAAGCAAACCTCATCGGTTCCGGCCCCCAATTTTTAAAAATTCAAAAAAAAATCTTTTACTTCCTTCTTTAGAAAAATCTTTCTTTGAGACCCCAATTTTTAAGAAATACAAAAAAATATTTTATTTTAGTTGCTTCTCAAAATCAAAAAATACAAAAATATTTTCATTCTTCTTTCGAAAATTGAAAAGAAAATTCAAGATTCAAAAATACTTTCCTTTTCTTTAGAAGTACTTCTTTCCTAACTTCAGAATAAAAATCCATAAATGCAAAAATATTTTTCTTTCTTCTTTAGAAGTTTTTCTATCGAAATTCCAAAAAAAACAATAAAAGCCGAGATTCAAAAAAAAAAAGGAAAAAAAAATCTTTCTTCTTTAGAAGTCTTACTTTGCAAGAATGCTGAAGAAAAATCAAAATCCAAAAATATTCTCTTTCTTCTTTATAAGTCTTTCTTTTGAAAAAAATAAGTGAAAAAGAAAAGAAAATTCGAAATCCAGAAAAACATAAATTTAGTTTATTTCCTTTATTCCTAATCTTCCTGAACTACGCAAGATCTGATTCATGTTCCCACATGATACGTAGGCAACCCACATCAGGTTCGATCACCATTAAAAAGAAATGAAAAAAAATGAAAAAGGAAAAAATGTTGATAATAATAAGGACCGACTGAGTCCATTCTAACATGTTTTGTTTTTGAATTATGAAGAAAGTTGAGGTGGTCGGTTTGTGGTAAGCTAGAAACACAAGATCCAAGGAAAAATGATAACTGATATCGAAGCTGTTAAAAGTGCTCAAAAGACTCAGGGTCAGAGGGTTCAACCAGAGTCTACTGTGTTTGAGAAAAATAGAATACTGAAATAGCAAATGATCGAAATGTGTCAAGCATGGGCTAGTGTTCAAGGACAGCCTCGTCATGAGTCACAATTTTCCACACAGCAAAAGCAGTACCACTCTCCTGAGTACCACTCGTACTCGTTTGATCTTCTTGCAAACATTGAGAAACCTGCCCGAAAGATGGTACAAGAAGAAATGACCCAAAGAGTGAAAAGCTTAGAACAACAGTTGAAAAATATGCAAGGGTTGGCAGGTCAAAAGAGTATTGCCTTCAAAGATCTATGTATGTTCCCCGATGTCCACTTGTCGCCTGGTTTCAAGACTCCCAAATTTGAAAAGTATGATAGACATGGAGATCTCATAGCCCACCTAAAAAGGTATTGCAATCAACTGAGAGGTGCGGGAAGAAATGAAGAATTGTTTATGGCTTATTTTGGGGAAAGCCTTACGGGAGTAGCCTCCGAATGGTTTATGGATCAAGACACGTCTCACTGGTATGTCTGGGATGACATGGAACAGGCCTTTGTCAAACAGTTCCAATACAACATTGACATTGCCCAAGACCGCAATTCTCTTTCAAACTTGAAGAAGAAACCAACTTAAAGTTTCAGGGAATATGCCATTAAATGGAGAGAGCAAGCAGCTAGAGTTAAGCCACCCATGGACGACCACGAGCTAATCACTGTCTTCCTTCACGCTCAAGAGCCAGATTATTTTCAAAACATGATGTCCACAGTTGGCAAATCCTTCTCATAAGCAATCAAAATGGGAGAAATGGTAGAGAACGATCTTAAGACAGGCAAAATTATAAGTCAAGCAGTTCTTAAAGTCGCAACTCAGGCTGTCCAGGTTGAATTTGATAATTTCAGTGGCACGAATGAGAAGGATGAAGAAATCATGATGACAACAGGTTCGAGAAGAGGTCCCAGGAAAACACCTCGAATGTATGCGCAGCCTCATCAGGTTTCCCTTGACTCCCCTGAGCATTGCTATCCACCTCAGAACCCAGAATACTCTATCGCTCCACATCAGTATGTTTTTCAGCCACCAAAACACTCCAGAAGGCGAGCACGAGCATCACAAAATCTCCACCAGCTTCCACAAAATTTTTAGGTACCCTATAACCCACATCCAGGCCAGAGGTATAGAGAGGAACAAAAGTTGAAAGATAATTTTACACCAATAGGAGAGTCCTATGAAAGCTTGTTTGAGAAATTAAAGCAGTATGACATGATTGCACCTATTCCTCCAAATCATGTGGACCCCCATGCAAGAAGCTTTGACCCTTCTAAAAGGTGTGAATATCATTCCAATTCCCAGGGGCACAATGTTGAAAGCTGTCGGGATTTGAAAAGAGAAATAGAAAGGATGATCCAAGAAAACCTGATTGTGATCCAAGGCAGTGACATCCAGAATATCACGCAGAACCCTTTACCTGCACATCATGATGCACACTTTGTGGGGATGATGCCTGGTGACATGGAGTATGAGAATCCTCTCGGGAACTTGCTAACTGAAGTTAATGATGTTGAAATTGGAGAAGGCTCTGCTGATTCTGATGAGCAAATTTGTGGCTAAATGTCAAGCCTAGCAATTGAAAAGTCATTCCCTCCTCAGTAGGAAGGAATCTTGGTAGCTTGTTTTGATGTTTTTTCTATTATCTGGGTTATTTCAGGGTTGTGATCCAGATTTTATTTGTTTTATTGAGTCAAATCCTTCTATCCCTCCATTCTATTTGTGTGAGTCTTGTCTGTCTGTTCTGTTGCTATTTTCATTATTCGGGTTATTTTAGGGTTGTAACTCGTATTTTAGGTTGCTTTTTTAGTTGTAAAACTCTTTCATCCTTTACTCAATAAAATACAGTTTGTCCTTTTGTGTCATTCTGTTCCTAGTTCTTTTCATGCTAGTTCTAATGACATGACATGCATATGGAAATTTTGGCCAGATCTTAGGAACTGATTTAATCTGGAATTCGATAACTAAAAAAAATACTTTTGAGGATGAATAAAGAGTTGGAATACTTTGGAACTAAGGTCAAGTAAAATTCACCTTCAAATCATTGTGAAGATCGGGCTTGAGGATGTTTAATCAATTAAAATTTGTTGGAAAGTTTGTCACTAAGGGATGAAAAAATGTCTTGTAACTACGGCACACCAAGAA